TCAGACAACCAGTTTTTTCTCCTCCGCTTTCTTTATCTCTTTTCCTATAAATTGTGAGCATGCGCAATGGCAGACAGAAGCGGAAGTAATATCAAGGAACTCCTGCAGCAAAATCCCGAGGTAGTCACCTGGAGTACGAGTACGAGTATGAGTATCATGAGTATGATTATGAACCAGTTCACCGTCGACGGATGCGAAAGCAAGTCGAAATGGAAATGGACCCGGCCGGCGCAATGGATGGCCGAAAATAGTAAGTGCCGAGGCTCCCAGGACCTGCTCTGCCAATTTGACGTCGCGTGGGGGAAGAAGCCGGGCCGACCAGTAAGAACTCGTGCTTTCGGTCTGAATTCCGGAGAAACCGCCAAAGGGGAACCTCCAACTGGAAGATCTAACCCTCGGGCAGGCTCCCCTCCCCCCGGAAACCCTGCTCTCCTAAGGCAAATGAAATGAATGAATGAATGAGGGAGGCATTCCTTCAATCCCTCTTGCTCCTCCATCTCTCTTGTTTTCTCTCCGGTTTTTCTTCTCCCACCCCTCCCACGTTGTCTAGCCACTGTTTCTCAGCCTCTCAACAAATTCCATTCCCCCGCTTTGTTCTGACATCTACTTCCTTGACGAGCACTCTCCCTCCCCTGAATCACCTTGACACACAACGTCGGGTTTTTGTCCAAGCAAAGTACCCGGCTTCTTTACTGTTAGGTTGAGGGGCTTTTGAGCTTGAGGTATCTTCCTCTGAGTTATAGGAGACCACCCGTGAGCCTTTTCAGGTTTGCCAGCCCGTTGAGCTGTTTACTAACTCGGTCGCAATCGAGTAGTCACGCTCCTCGTCGCGATGTTCTTCTCCCAACTACCGACTCATCTCCAGCGCGCTACCGAGCTACAGCAGGAGCCCCCTAAAGGCAAACCTTACGGCGTTGCCCTACCGGGCACCGAAAAACCAGGGCGCTCTCCCGTCTACCGGACCTGGAACTCAACAAAAGAGCTAGTAAAAACACTAGACCCTAACGTATGCTCGTTCGCGGACCCCAATGAGATGAGAACCACATTGTGATTGTTATTGACTGGCTTCGATTTTCCCAGGTGGCTACTGCGCATGACATATTTGAGTCGACCGCCGGTAGAGTGCCGAAAAGCGACTGCTTGGGATGGCGCCCATATGATCCGATAGTTAAGGCCTACGGTCCGTACCAGTGGATGGATTATGAGACGGTTCAGAAGCGACGTACTGCTTTTGGTGCTGGTCTGGTCGAATTACATCAGAAACATGGCTGCCATCGTCCTGGCCAATATGGAATTGGTTTATGGTCCCAGAACCGCCCAGAGTGGCAACTGACTGGTATGAGGCACCCTGGCAAATATGGGCAGAGGAAACTTGCTAATTCCCGTGTCTATAGACCTTGCCTGCATGTCTCAAAGTCTGTACTCGGTCTCCATCTACGACGTTCTCGCGGCAGACGCTACGGAGTACATCATCAACCACGCCGAATTGCACTGTGTCGTGACTTCTTTGCCTCATATTCCCACTCTGCTGAAATTAAAGCCATTGTTGCCCGGTCTGAAAATCATTGTCAGCATGGATCCTCTGGAGGCCGGGGAACCCGCCGGCCTTTCTAAGCGCGCGCTCCTCGAATCGATTGCGGCTGGGCTGGAGGTATCTATCTACACCATCGAGGAGGTGGAAGAGCTTGGGGCGTTTTCAAAACGTACCTGCAATCCCCCATCCCCATCTGACATAGTTACCATAAATTATACGTCCGGCACTACAGGGAATCCCAAAGGGGTGGTTTTGACCCATGAGAATACTGTCGCGGCAACTTCAAGCGGCCTCGTAGTAACTACGCAGGCCCCTGGTGATACTCTGGCATCATATCTTCCACTAGCACATATTTATGCGCGGCTGTCGGAGCATGCAGCATTCTGGGCGGGGGCTCGAATTGGCTACTTCCATGGGAATATGCTGGAACTCGTCGATGACCTGAAAGTCCTCAAGCCTACTGGGTTCATGTCAGTTCCAAGACTGTTCAGTCGTTTCGGAAATGTCATTCGCTCAGCTACCGTGGACCAGCCCGGTTTTAAGGGAGCATTGTCGAGACATGTTGTTGCGGCGAAAACAGCAAACCTGGAGAATCCCGACGCTAGCAAAGCTACAATAAAGCATGCGGTGTATGATCGCATCTGGTCGAAAAAGGTTTCCGCGGCGCTTGGCCTGGAGCGCACTAGAGTGATGGTCTCTGGTTCTGCGCCTCTGGACCCGACCCTCCACCAGTTTTTGAGAGTGGCTACTGGTACCGATATTATCCAAGGTTACGGGTTGACCGAAACATACGCTATTGCATGCGCTCAATCCCCGCGAGATTTGACTGCCGGGAATTGTGGGCGACTTGCTCCATGCAACGAGGCCTGTTTGGTCTCTCTTCCGGATATGGACTACTCGGTCGATGATAAGCCCTTCCCACGGGGTGAACTGCTCTTACGTGGAGGGAACATCTTCCGTGAGTATTATAAAAGCCCAGAAGAAACGGCCAATACGATGACTGAAGACGGATGGTTCCGGACCGGTGACGTTTGCACCATTGATGATATGGGCCGAATCATCATCATTGATCGTCGCAAGAATGTCTTGAAGCTGGCGCAGGGAGAATACATCTCCCCCGAGCGTCTAGAGGGCGTTTACCTGTCTGAGCTGGGCTACTTGGCGCAGGGCTACGTCCATGGTGATAGTGTACAGACTTTCTTGGTGGGTATCTTTGGCGTGCAGCCCGAATCATATGCTCCGTGGGCCAGCAAAGTGCTCCGTCGAAACATTGAGGTCACGGACATTGACGGCATCAAATCGACGTTGGATGAACCTCAGATACGTCGCGCGGTGTTGCGGGATCTCGACCGCGTCGCAAAGAAACACAAACTTGCAGGCTACGAAAAAATAAAGAACTGCGCGCTGATACTGGACCCTTTTACAGTTGAGAACAATCTGTTGACGCCGACGTGAGTGGAATCCCCTTCTCTTTACATACTGCGCAAGTCTGACTAGATATCCAAACTCTTTAGTTTGAAGCTGAAACGTCCTCCGGCTGTGAAGAAGTATCGCCATCTTCTGGATGACTTATATACGACGGCGTTGGCTGAGGAAGCCGCTCCGAAGGCCAAGCTCTAGGAGATATTGACGTCGATAATATGTTTATGTGCTAAAACTCATGCTAGCCAGTTAGACTGCTGGAGCTGCCTCGTACATATTTTCCCTGTGATTATTCAATCATTCATGTAGTTTATTTAGCACTTCAATGATCTTGGAATCCAAGGCTGAGCCTTTGAGCGTGGTAAAAGGTTAGTATTTCACCCGGGGGATGGGGGGTGGGGGGGTTGTGGGGTTTCTGTGTGTGTTGGGAGGGACAATAAGGTATTGTACGGCAGTTACTGCTGCATACATAGAAAAGGGAGTCACTATTCTTACCACCAGAGATATTAAGACTAGTATAGTGAAGTTAGCCTCATGATGAGTAAGGTATATCTAATCACAGCACATTTACATGAGCCCTCGGTGGTTGGCCCGAATGATTGCTTGGCGCTAGAGCTTCTCGATACCTAGTTCGACCCCAACTCTTTCTTTAGTCAATCCAACCGATCAGTCCCTTGGAACCCTCAACCAGCGACTGCTGCCCACCATGCGTTCAGCCAGCAACTCCCTGGTGGGACTCGTTCTTATCCTGCTGTCTGCACCAATGCTGGTGTATTCAGCCCTCACGATCACCATTCCCTCATCCAGTCTGCTCCCCAATCCCCACGCTCTCCCCGCTGGAACTCATGCGACGTTGTCCACGCTTCCCTCCTCGCCCTCCTCGCCTTCGCAGCTGACTGCATCCCTCACTCGCTCCGCGACATTCGTCTTCGCCAATATCCCTGCCCAATCGAAGCCCCAATCCTACCTGCTCGACATCCGCTCCCCGGATTTCATCTTCGCCCCGTACCGCGTAGATATAGCCGCTGATGGAACCGTTCTCGGGATCTGGGAGACATTCCGCGCGAACCCTTGGGACAACCGAGGCTCAGAGAAGTACATCCTAGATGCCACTACTGCTGTTGGGCAAGATGGAGCTGTCTCTGCCGCAACCACGCCCGACGTGACTGTCGAGGCCCGAGTCCTTGCCCGGAGAAATTTCTACGAGGAACGCCCCCGGTGTATGTTCTATCTGAATCGCGACACATTGGCATGGACCGTAACAAATGGCTGATCGTTCGTCCCGTCCTAATCAATTAGTCTCGCCCTTGGCGCTGTTCAAGAATCCTATGATCCTACTAGCTTTGGTTGCTCTGGGCTTTACATTCGGCATGCCGAAGTTGATGGAAAACAGTGAGTTGCCTCTCTTTTCACCCGAAGCATTTTATTTTCTTTTAGGACATATTTAGTGTTTTTTTTTGTTCCGTTCTGCCCTTATTAATGCTTCCGTGTACTCTTGTGCTCTAGTGGACCCCGAGATGCGTGCCGAATTCGAGAAACAATCTCGCTCCTCCCCGATTACGGGCGCCACACGCAGCGCCATGGCCGGCGGCGGAGCGCCCGGCAATTTCGACTTGGCGGGGTGGATGGCTGGAGCCACTCCCAGGCCCGCCCCTGGTGCTGACGGAGTTGCTGCGTCGGGCAGAGGTAGTGGGAGTGCTTCTCGGAGGAGAGCATAGGTATGCAGTCCCTGCGGCATCAGAATGACGACGCAGCGCGGGAAAATGGATGCTGACCGACCTTCATTCTGGAGGTAGAGAGCGTATATCATTAGAGCTAGCTTACTCAAGTAAACCTTGTCTGTTTACAGATCCCTCTTCACCTCGCTTTACCTTAACTCAACGATGGCATGGGCCAGCTACGCTTCACGAACCATTTTGCCTTGCGCCCGGGAAAGAAGCTCATATAGAAGTAAGTATATTTCATCTGAGGCTTAGTTATAGCGTTTGAATTTAATCCAAGATGAATTTGATTCAAAATAAGAACATGAATCAAGTCCGGCTATATCGTTATTGAGGGAAAACCTCACCGTCAGGAAGATATCAATATAGCTTCAAAAAATACCACGGAACTCGCCTAACGAGCAGACAGTTTGGGTTACTCATTTAGGCTAGGAATGTGGATCGGAAACGTTGATTTCCCACATGGCACATCGAATTTGTTGTATGCTCTGGTCTGAAGTACAAGAGATTTCTACCCAAAATATCCGCGAGGTGAAATTGTAGGCGAGCTGTGGAAAATACATCGTACGTGCGGGCCAGTGACGGGAGGAGCGGCTGTCGCGCTGGACCACACAATTCTAAGACGCACGAGCGACAAACCGTATACATCATCATAACACATAAGCTATTCATAAGGGCATCTCGCGCAGCCAGGGAATAGATCTAAACCTGTTCGCACATAAAACATCAAAACAGAGATGGGCTGAAAATAAGAGCGATGCATTAGAAATCACCGAAGTCATCACCACCACCAAAGTCACCCCCATAATCATCCCCATAATCACCTGGGGGAGGACCGTAATCGTGCGACATGTCTTCCACAGCATCAGCGAGCAGCATGCCACCTAGAAGTCCACCACCGACACCTAAAGCTGCAGCCCCCGCGGTGCCCATCCCATGCCGTCGCTGCTGCGGCTGTTGTTGGGTTGGGTAAAAGCTACCCTGTGGTGGATATGATGGGTAACCATACCCTGTCTGTTGCGGGGCATAACCGGCGCCAACACCGCCTCCTCCGTGGTAGTACCCGCCTTGAGGGTAGCCATAAGACTGTTGCGGTACGGGTTGCTGCGGCCGAGGGAATGACGCACCGCTATTACCGGCGACTTTTCCTTTTAACTTGCTGAAGAACCCTTTGCTGCGCTGCTGAGCCGGTCCAGGAGAAGAGTTCTGCGACTGGGGTTCCGATGACTGATATCCGGCAGTTTGTCTACGAGAACCATCGGTGTAGTAGTCAGACGCAGCACTGCCAGAGCTCGCAGGGCTCCTGCGACGAGCTCGGGCATTCTCCTCTGCCTGTAGCTGCGCAGCAAGGCGAGCATCATCATCTAGATTATGGTGCGCAGATTCTGGTGGCTTGTATGGGATCCTCGAATCAACAGTTTTCTTGTCACCTGCAGCAGCCAGTGACGAGGGTTCAGCAGGACCCGACGCATCGTAAGACGGTGGCGGCTCGCTCGGTGGTCCATGTATTTCTGGTTCTGTTCGATTCGGTCCTTCGGGACGTTCCCATTGTGATCGACCAGTTCGTAGGTTTACGAAGAACCTGAGGTCGCAGTCAGTCTTGCTCTATCCATTTTGCATTCGATGACTGGGTGATATGCATACCACTGATTATAGCGGTCATCAAATTGAGCCTTCCATCCTTCAGGGACGGAAGGAGTCGGAGGGCCAGGCGGCGGGGCAAATGACATAAATGATATAGATGGTATGACTAGTGAGCTTAGCACTTATTTATGGTTTCAACAAGACAGTGTTGGATTATCAAAGGGATTCTCATCTGAAATTATACCAGACGGGGAAGTGAAACCGGCTTCTGGATGAACAGAGAACATAGGTGTTGTAGATGCATAGGAGGGGGTGCATTATATACAGCGAGCAGTAGTTGTTTCCGAGGGGCATCGCCCCGTGGCGCTGCTCAGCCACGTGATGTCATTGTGGGGCGATGGAGATTGGTACGTATCACATGCGGAGAGAAGTGTCCAGCAGTCGCTGATCATGCTGTTGACTGCGTACATCTGTATTTGTATACTAGACTACTTACTCATCTGTGAACAAGCAAGTTCAACCAGACCTTTGACTGAATAGTCGAATCAGTCAGGTTTAGATCCACTCATGACTAAGAGCTCAGGCCACTCTACCATCTGACCCATCGTTGAAAACTATTCATCAAAGACAATGTCCAAATCTGGATCATGATTCCCTTGCTGCATAGTAAGACAGGATTGTAAGAAATATCTAAGGAGAAAACGTTTCCCTAAGTTCGCTGTAGGCTGTCAAAATGGTCAGAACCCCTCCTGCCCTTCCCAAAAACGATACTGCTCGTAGTGATACAGCCAGCCTCTACTTCGAAATCCCACGACCCCTCTTCCGAATGGAAACCATAGCCTCGTACAAAACATCCTTAAAACCAAATAAGAATGCCGCAGTAATTGCACTCTGCGTCACTTTTGGCCCAATTCCTGTTTGGAATAATGTAAGCTGTCTTTCTAAAAGCACTTCGTCAATTGGGGTTCACTTGCCTTTGTATAGGCCAGCATAACCTTCTTCCTGAATTATTTTCTTCAAACTCCCATTCAAACTCTCCTGGGGCCCCTCTTTACTTGCAACATGCATGCGGCTCTTGACTGTGATGTAAGGATATGTGATCGAAGTAGCGAGTATCTTACCAAGGGCACCCAAGTAGAACGCATCCTTGGGTGTCATCCGTCTACGACGCTCGACGATGATTTTCAATTGCTCAAAGATTGTATACTGCAAGATAGGGTTGACCACCAATACGAGAGCTGGCAGGACGCCAGCGAAGAGGGCCTTTGGGCCCTCTCGGCGCAGCAAGTCCATCAGTGTAGCGATTGTCGATGCTCGCTCCTTTCCAAGATAAGCACCAGGCAAGGACTTCTGATCCGAATCAGATTTGCGAGCTGTCATTCTGGTGTTCACCACCCAAATCGGATTGGTGATCATGACTGTGGCGATCCCTGCAATAGCCCCGGCAACCATCGACTCAACAGTTGTGAGCTTTCTAGATGCCCTTCCTGCTTTTGCAGCTGCCTTTTCGAAGGCGGAGCGTGTCCATTCATACCAATAGTAGTAAACGAAATTGGTAACACTGATACCCAGAAGTGCCGACTCAAGTCCCGAATATAGTCCGGCAAGCCCCTCTCTCTGGACAATGCGACGAACCGCGTCATAGATTGTCGAATGGGCCCGCTTGGATTCAACCTGGGCCCTCGTTGAGAGAGTGATGAGCGGGTAACTTTTAAGGTTAAACAAAGCGTTAATGAAGACCCAGTCGAGCAGGGAGCGTTACTCACGTCAACGCCATCGAGAGAATGCCGCCTCCAGCACCGGCCAAGGCATGCGCTATATTATCGCTCTGTTGCATGGAAGCGGATACTGCCAACCCCTTCTTCTCCTCATGGATGCTTGCTTGAGACATCGGCCACGGACTCTTCACGCTGCATCCAAGCACGATGCAAGATTAATATGATAGAAGGAAACTTGCTTGTAGTGAAGGTAGTCAACGCGTTGCAATACTCACAAATATGACTGGGAGAGTTTGGAGGAGGGGCTTTCTATTCTTTCAACTAAGAGAATCAGGTAAAGGAAGGGCGAGCGTTGCAGGAAGGAACGAAGCAAAAGATCAAGACACCAACAATAGAAAGCTGCAGGAAGTTGGTTGTTAGATACCTTATGAAGAGAAGGGTGAAAGGGGGGGGCCGGTGAAAGGGTCGAGTTTTAAGACACCGAGAAATGTAGAAGGTCGCGAGAATGACTCGGCCCAGGAGGTAAAAGCAACGACGCTCATGACGTTTACCGAAATTTGGGCCTCGGCTGATGCCCCTCCCGCAAAATTCGGGTTTCAGTCGCGTGTTTACCAAAGGTACAGACAGTGCCCAGCAGGATGTTGACCAGATTCCAGCGGTAAACGCCAACATGTACAGGACTAGGCCTGGTGCGATGAAAGCATATGTAGCTCACATCGGCACCCGAGTATGTACTGTATACCGCATAGTAGTCAGATAGAATGACATATCGGAGTCACGCTACGTTGTTATCGTTATCGTAGATGAGGTCCGTTACACACCTGGAGCGTACTGTACTGTACATACATCGCAGGAGTCACTCTTAGCCCCCCAAAAATTTTTTACCTAAGGACTCATGAAATTACTTGCATTCGGCGGCAGGTAATTTCTCAGATGCAAAGAGGCGACTAGGTAGTAGGAAAAGTCAGGTCGCCAACACCTAAGGATTAGCAATTCAATACGGAGAAGAAGCTGAGCCAATTTCGCATGTGACATTTCCTTCTTGCGGTAACCAATCAATCACTTAATGGGCTGCCGACCCCTGGGCCACCCCACCCCCCTCCCTTGCACTGCAGAGGTGGGTAAGTACTATAAATGTCACGGTACCTGTACTCAGCTGTACATTCGTTGTTACCCTTAAGACCCATCTGTCGGCCTGGATTGGTATTTAGCCACTCATTAATCTATTAGTTGAGTAGAAAAGTCTACACGGAAGGCAAATAGTAGAGAAGGGATCAGGAGGAAGGATGGGACCCGCGGTAATAAGAGCCCACTGGTTCGACGCTTTTGCTTAAAGATTCATTGTTCTCTGAATTAACTAAATAATCGACCCCGAGCGAGTAAACAAGGCAAACAATCCAACTTACTAGAAGAAAGACCAATCGAATAGAGACTTGTGGGAGAGACACTAGTAAGGAAGAGATAGAGACTTGAGGAGAAGATTATGGGTGGAAACCAGCGTGATGAAAGCAAGAAACAATGAAAGGAAGCCGACTGGGGGCTGGGCAGTGAAGACTAAAGAAAAGTCAGCAAAAAGCAGGCGGGGATGGGAGTAGGTGCATCTGTGGTATGACAGTGTATAAAGACGAAACGCAAGCCTTCTAAAGCATGAACAATGAAACTATTCCTATGGCCATTCCTAGCATGAAGGGTCTGCATCCACCCCAGCATTGAGAAGACAGCCAGTGATAGGGCGCAGCCGGTACATCTTCCCTCTAGCTCATCTTCTTGGATCCCGTAATTCCCCTTCTGCCGTTCCATGTTGGAAGGACAGCACCTGGAATCACAAGCACAGACGCCTAACAGCAGCCGCCGGAAGAGCCAGACTGAACTCCCTGGCCCTGACCAACTTGCACAGTAGGCTTGTTGTTGACGGTGGCAGTTCCCATACGTTCCTTGATCTGTCTAGCCATTGTCAAAAAAGCTTGCTCGACATTCGAGGCATTCTTGGCCGAGGTCTCCAGAAACGGTATTCCGAGGCTGTCCGCAAATTCCTGTAGCATTCACATATTCCGTTAGTTGCCGACCGGAAAACTCCAGCTACTGGCGACTGTAGCGACGTACCTTGGCCACTGTGTACTCCACTACCTTCTTGTCTTCCATATCGCTCTTGTTGCCCACAAGCAACTTATTGACACCCTCGGTGGCATAACGGTCGATTTCTTGGAGCCACTGCTTAACGTTGTTGAATGAGTCCATATCAGTGACGTCGTAGACAACGCAGATACCATGAGCACCACGGTAATAAGACGACGTGATAGTCCTGAATCGCTCCTGGCCCGCAGTATCCCACTGAAATGCATTAGTGATCCCTGGTCATCATCTCGCAATACCGGCTTCCTTACAATCTGGAGTTTCACTGTCTTTCCGTCGAGTTCAATAGTGCGAATTTTCTAAGGCATACTATCAGCAGGCCGGTACACGGGGAAGGCGGAGCCTGAGTTGGGAAAGACACCTACAAAATCGACACCGATGGTGGAGATGTAGCTTTCCGTGTAGGTATCATCGGCAAATCGAAGTAGTAAGCAGGACTTTCCAACACCGGAATCTCCAATGAGGAGAAGCTTGAAGAGGTAGTCGTATCTGCTCAAAGCGTCAGCCTAGCTATGAATGAGACGCTGGGCCGCCCATCTTCCTTCTCGCCATTGGGAAGGGAGTATGGAGGCGGGGAGAGATCGGGGCAACTCTAAGAGAACACACAAATTAGCAACATGCCGGCCGGTCAGTAGAGACAATCCAAGGAACTGCACGATAGATGGAAAGTGATGCAAGAGTTTGTGGTGATTAATGCAACAGCACGCAACCCGATGAATCGCTCGGGGCCTAAGCGGATCGAGGCACTTACGACTCAGGGTTCATGGTGGAAACGGTGGAGGTATGTGTCGAAATTTGCAGGTGCTTAGAACAAAGAAGAAGACTACCGAGGACTAATTCGAAAGCTATTTGGATGCGTTGGATGAGAAGGTGCGAGTAAGAGTGGCAGCAAGCTGTGGTTGTAAATGATGCTCGGAGCGTCTGTCTATTAAGCTGAGGGTGACCAGGCGGTCTCTTGGAAATGGCGGTTGTTGCGTTGCTGACGACTGCAGGAGAGCAGGGGAGCCCAATGTGCAGGTTCCAGCCGCGGGCTGCTGGTGACTGTTTCACACTCATTGACCCACCCACCTACCTCAAAAGCCCATGGACCAATCTGGATTAGTGTCCTGGTACAGGAAGTCTTACTAAGTCCAACAACTGGGACACTAGTTTGTAAACTGACTCACTGTTAACTTAGTAGTTAAATATAAGTAAGGTAAGCGTGGTCGCAGTAGAAATAGGCACATTGTACATTGGCATGTTCCAGTAATATTATCTGCAGAATGTGTCACAGGTACAACCACTCTCCATCAGAAACCACCACAATGTAGACCCTGAGATCGGATCATCATTTGTAATACTGCACAAATAACCATCTCATTCTGATACCATCAATACTACTTTACCTCGACAGACACCCAACAAGCCAATGAACAAGGTGAGAAGGCACCTCTGCGTATTGCTTTATTCAATCTCAGCTGTTTCGTCTGCTGTTGCTCAGGTGATTCTCCCAGCCACAACGGGACTGGCTCTCACCGAACAACTATGTCATGCAAACCCACTCCCTCAAGAGAGCGGCAATCACTGTTCCTAACTAATCAAGCATATCCATGAACCTGAAGCCACTCCAACACTAGACCCTCATCTCTGTCTTTGTAGTGCAAATTTGTGCGGATGCTATCAGCAACAATAACCAGAGCACGGTCGTAGGCACTGGTATCCTTATCCTGAAAGAAGGCAGAAATGTCGGCTTCAATGGTGTGATCGGCGAATTTGGAAAGTCCCATTCGCACAAAGCGCTCGAAAACAACATTATTTGTCGATAAACGTGATTCAACCATGTCCCAATGCGCTTTCATGTACTCCCAAAGTAGATGGCGAGTGCTTGAATTCGAAGCAAGTGAAACTGCACCGTTATGTATGTCCTGTATAGCAACCTTGTCTGAGAAGACAAAATCGAGATAATCCCTGACCAATTCGGAAATCTTCGTGCGTCCAAGAGCCCCTAGGCAGATCTCTTTTCCATCGACAGAATCGGTTCTCAAATATTCCTCCTTGACGGAAACATAATCTTGAGTTCCACCCTCAGAAACTACAACACCAAAAATAACAGAGCGCAGGTTGGGATGCACAGCATTTTTGTCTTTAGCAGTGTTCCAGAGCTGGAATCGTCGTGTTGCCTCGGAAATCATACTAACGCTCAATGTTAGTGAAGGTCTCAGTTAAGCAGCCTCAGGATGTGAAGATACTTACTCTTTATGCCCAGCATGGCATGCCATTCCAATCAAAAGTTTCCGAAGCTGTACAGTAAGATAATCATCTTCGGGCTTAAACTCCCAGCCAATTTCTTCAGCGGCGGGTGAGACTAATTCAAGGGTGAATTTCTTCAGCCCTGATGAAACCGAGTTGTTTTGAGCAAACACCGAACGTAAGTTTCCGATGGAAGTTGAGATTTGAGACCAGATCCTAGAAGATAGACATCGTTAGAGACTGAAATCACAAAGAAGATGTATTAACGGTGTTCAAGGGATGCTGACAGATAGTTCTTTTCTTCCTTGAAACCACTCAATAAAGATAACAAGGCAGTCGTTGTGCCATTACCAGAAACGGCAAGAGCAGCAGCATCGCCAATCAGGCCGATCTTATCCTCAGTACTTAGTAGGTCCAAAGACTGTCCGAGTTTAGCCAAACGATCAGCAGGATAATTGGTACGGTAGAAACCAGAAAGGTTCTTGTTTATCTTGTAGAAGGATTCCTGCCCCACACCGGGAACTGAATCTGATTTAGATACCAAAGCACCCTTATTTGTGTCAGACACCTCACGAGCCGACTGGATACCTAGCGGAATCCACCATGTTGTTTCGTCCTCATCTGGTTTGGCATCACCTGTCGAGAGGAAGCGGTTTTGACGGATGTTGATTTGACCCAGCTCCTCGGTGATAGTGATAACAGGGAATCCGATCTTGCGAATCCAAGGGTCCTTCGCCACCCTATTAGTTCAGGGAAACTCAAATGGACTGAAGAACATTACCATGAAGCTAGTTACATCCTGGTTGGATGCCTTGCTTAGAGCCGACCAAAGATCATTTGTGGTAGCATTTCCTGTACACCATTCAAATCAGCAACTCGATGTTCGCAGGCCTATTGCATTTGCCAACTTGCCGTAAGCGTGTGCCTTGAGATACGCAGCTACACCGCGTAGAAAGGTCTGTCGACCGAGGTGATCACTCAGCATGCGAATGACCGAGCTTCCCTTCAGGTAGCTGATGTGATCGAAAATCTGGTCCACTTCGAGAGCGTTTCTAACGGGTACCTCAATCGGATGTGATGCCCGCAAAGAGTCAAGCTGAAAAGCTTGTTGAACACCCTCAGCCTGTGTGCCGGTTAACATAGAACTAACACGCGGATTTACCTCGGGAATTGCGCACAACAAACTGAGACCAGATATTCCATTCTGAATGTAGGATCTGGGTTAGTTCTATGGGATACTGATCACGTGATGGCCAAAACTTACCAGGATAAAAGTGGTCAACAGCAAGCCAACCGACCCAAGTTGCAAACCCTTCGTTAAGCCATAGTTCGTTCCACCAATCCATTGTAACAAGATTGCCAAACCATTGATGGGCCAATTCTGAGAGCATTGCAGGTTAAGTATGAGATGGTATTGCTTTGATGAAGAAGACTCACCGTGCGCGACCACATAAGCAATGCGGTTCTTATACCGGGTATCGGACTTGCCCTCTTCAAAAAGAACAGCAGTTGTTCGATACGTTACGAGTCCCCAGTTTTCCATAGCACCCATCGCCTATACAGTATTAGTTGACTTGTTCGATGTCGTGTAAGAAAGGGTATGCACAAATTCATGGACAGCGAGAAGATCTGCCTTGGGCAAGGGATATTCTATCTCGAAAATCTCGGAGAAGTAGTCAACGGTGCGATGAGCACATTCTAAAGCGAATCGAGCTTGCTCTTTCAGACCTCTTGTTGTATAGACACGGACGGGTATACTCTTTCCTTGATACTTGCGCTCTGTCATCGCCTCCACGTATTCGAAATCGCCAACTGCCCATGCCAGAAGCTGGATTTGATGTTAGAGAGATTCCCTGCCGGATCACTGGAAAGACTCACATATGTGCTCATAACGGGAGTTCTCTCAAAAGAGACAAGTTTGAGTCCCGGCTTACGTCCAGCCCTCTCATCTTTAATAGGCATGTTGCTCAGGGCAGTTTGACCGGTGGGCACCTCGATCTCGAAATCAAAGGTGGCTTTCAAATTTGGTTCGTCGAAGCATGGGAAAGCCCGACGCGCATCACAAGACTCGAATTGAGTGCTCAACATGTAGTGGAAGTCTCCTTCTTTGGGTGTGTCTTCAACTGGTTTCACAACAGGGATGTATTTAGAGCGGTAGAACCCGGCCATCGCGTTGTTCATGGTTCCGGTAAACTTCATCGAGAGAAGAATATCTGAGGGTGCAATTTCCGACGGGAACTTGAAAGCCACCCGCTCAGAGGTTCTATCATAAGAGATCTCGGATGCTTCGGACAATTTGGTCCCTAACGGAGGCCGTCAATATTATGACAAAGGGAACAATCGTGGGCAAAGCCCGGTGCAGGTGATGACGGACCATCTTCGCCATAGATTTCGACTTTCTGAACCTCGATTTCCTTCGAGTTGAGCACAATCTCTTTCGTGGGGCGGGTGACTCTGGCCTTGACCTTGACGATACCATTATAGCCCCAATTATCACTGAACTGCAGATCAAACAAAGACACGTCGTAATGGACTGGGACAGCTCTGTGCTCATCGTTAGAGAAGTGTCTTTTGAAAACCCGAATGTCACAGTTTGCAACTCACACGTCCGGGAGGACATCTCTGTCATTTGATGCCATTGTGCGGGTGCGGAAATCAGAAGAGCAACACCTTGCGGAGGACGAATGGCCAGCAATCGTGAGAGTAGGAAGTAAATGTGTGCGCGGAGAGAGTGAAAGAGCCGATAGATGGCGGGAACGCGAGAAAGCGAAGGAGGGGGAGCAGGGGAGGGGAGAGGAGGGGCAGTAGAGGGAAACTGGTCGGACCGGCTGATAAACCAGAAATCGTCCAAGGATTCGAGCTTTGCCGCCAGTACGTGTACATCTGGCTGGCGACGCCGTGGCGGCTGTGCTTCTAATGGGACACCTTCTCCCCCACATTTCTTATGCTAATGGTATCTGGATCTGGTCGAGCGAGCCTAAATTGGGCAAATCTATGTCTACGGTTATCTTCGGCCCATGCCACAAAGCCTCATTTACCCGTAACGATACAGATATGGGGTGATACGCATACATACAAGTAAATCAGAAAATCCGGAGGGGGGAGGACAAGAACGGAAGGGAGATTGCAATGAGGGTAAGAATCCTGGGAGCCTGAGACAGAATCACTTTATTGTGTTTTACAGAAGGCTAAGGCAAAGACTGGAGGGCAGAGTGGGGAGGGGAGGAAATTGTACGTAAACGAAGCCCAGATTTACCGAGTCTCGTCTGTGTCAAGTGAGAAAGATATGGTTTAGTATATGGTTTGGTAGTGTCATTCAATAATCATCATTGTTGTTCCATCAGGACACAGACCGGAGCTCCGACGGAGCTTGGACCCTTTTCGGGAGACGAATGTAAGTTAATTCCTGGTTGATTCTATTATCTAATCACGGCCGAGAGGTGAGTGCTCAGCAGTAGTACTGTTCCTACCTAGTCGAACTACTCAATATTCCTACTGTATACACCATCTAAGAATGCCTTACTACTAAAGAGATGTCTAGTAACAACACACTTGTCCCCAAAACCGCCAAAGCCGATCGTTCAAGCATCTTCACCTATCCTGGTCGTTCGCTCCAACCCCAGATCCGTCCTTCGCAGCCTGCCTCACAATTCTAAAGATGGCCGATTCCGATGAAGAGTATGCTGGGGAAGCCTCCGAGGATGAGGTAGATGGCAGTCAAATCTCATCTCGAGGCGGAGCCGCTCAACCGCCGCGTTCGAAAAGAAAGAAAAATCGCGGAGGCGCCGAATGGGAGGTCTCAAGGACTTGGGAGAGCTTGGTCGAAGGCGCAGATGGCACGATCAACTCTACAGTAGAGGGTCTACTTGAAGCTGGGAAAAGGAAGAGGTTAGCTTCTCTTTTCTCTCACCCTTGATACATGTCCAAGGGGGGGGACAAACGACACTGAATACAGGTGGGGTATGGCGAAGCTGAAAATCTTCACAGACTTCTACGGGACACCACACCACTACAACGAGGCATTATCCGCCATCTTATCCTGGTTCTCGACTTGTCACACTCAATGGCAGAAAAGGATCTACGGCCAACGCGATATCTCCTGTCCCTGCGCTATGCCCAAGAGTTCGTCAGAGAATTCTTTGAACAGAATCCAATCTCCCAGTTGGGTGTACTTGGCCTGAGGGATGGTCTCGCAGTACGGGTTAGTGATATGAGTGGAAATCCTACTGAACATATCAGTGCAATTCAAGCCCTACGAGAGCATGACCCGAAAGGTCTTCCTAGCTTGCAGAATGGGCTTGAAATGGCTCGAGGTGCTCTCTTGTATGTTCGCACCATCCAGAGTTTTGGCACAGCTGAATTGCCCCCACGAACCACGCAAACTAACCCATGGTTCACAGTCACACTCCCACTCACGGTACCCGTGAAGTCTTGATCATCTTTGGTTCCTTGCTCTCCTCTGATCCAGGTGATATTCACCATACCATAGCAACTCTGGTTAGCGAAAAAATCCGTGTTGGCATCGTGGGCCTTGCTGCTCAAGTAGCCATTTGCCGCGAGCTTTGCTCTAAGACAAATCATGGCGACGATACCACGTACGGCGTAGCTCTTAACGAGCAGCACTTTCGTGAATTGGTAATGGGTGTCACAACCCCTCCGGCCACGTTTTCTCAAAGGCAGTCCGCAAGCTCCCTCCTGATGATGGGATTTCCGTCCCGTTCTGTCGAAGCCCACCCTTCTCTTTGCGCGTGCCATTCGAATCCTTCTTGTGGGGGCTATTCCTGCTCTCGATGCAATAGCAAGGTTTGCGGCCTTCCTGCCGAATGCCCTTCATGCAGTCTGACACTAATCCTTTCCACGCATCTCGCTCGGTCTTATCATCATCTTTTCCCATTGATGAATTGGGTCGAAGTTCCATGGGCGCGAGCCTCGCGTAGCCTGGCCTGCTTTGCTTGTGGTATAACTTTCCCTCCAGTGCCCCCTAGAGATCAATGGCAGGCCGCAGATGTACAGTCTAGAGGGATGAGCGTAAGCAGTCGCTATGAATGCACCGTGTGCCGTAACAATTTCTGCATTGATTGTGACCTTTTTGCTCACGAAGTTGTGCACAATTGCCCTGGCTGTCAAAGCGAGACCACATCTTCTACAACGCCTGGACTGGTTCAGGTAGCTGACAGAATGGATACATCGGCATAATCCGATCGACATCGTTCAGCAATACTACGGGATATCCCAGCTCAATGACCTACTTCATACAGGAATTGCACATCTCTGTAAGCCTAACACTGTAGATGCTGGTGCAGAAAGACTCATCAGAATCGGCTCAGGGGCAGTTATACCCGCGGCTACCATATGGCCACTCTGCACGAAATGCAGTTATTCCTGCAGGTTGACTTGGGCGTGGTGTCATGGTGATGTAGTAGGCACATCCTTCACTACGATCCGCATGTGACTATCTGAGCGAGCTGATATCCAGTCATGAAAGAGGCTAAGGAGCGATTAGAAGATGGTACCAATATCTTAGAAGGTAGCAAACTTGATTATATCTGTCAAATAATCCACTTTATTCTAGACCAGGCTACTAAGTACTGTGGCCTTGATTCGACCATTGAAATTAGTAAATTTGTGATCGCGGAATAGGAGACAGACCTCGGCTAGTCTTGTGTTAGACCGCCTGTCACATAACCAGGTTCACATGCCGCAGGTCCGCTGGCTTTGACGCATCGATTGACATCACCTTTGACATTCACTCATGTCCGATACAGTACGCTTTAGCTCCTCAACACGGTCATGAACCCCACGCGCACACCTGCTCTGTGGGAGGCTTCGATCCAGTCTTCAGACGAAGCAATTCTCCCGCCTGGAGTCGAGCAGGAAACGTGGGACGCTGAGCTCTTCGAAAGACTCAGTTCCTACCCATTTGAGGACGATCATGAGTTTGCACATGGGCTCTCGATAATTCTCGGCCACCCTGAAATGCCAGCGTCAAAGGCCGAGATCGACCGGGACGATAATGTTACGTTACAGGCTAAATGTTTCTACTTCTCGAGGTTAGACCTTTCTACCGAATATTTAGAAGCTATAGCTCTAACCATGACTATTTTGCTCTCTTGGTTCAGGAAAGAGAAACTCCCGACTCCCGTGAACATTGGAAATTACCAACTATGGTTACAAGCCAGACCCACAGCAGCTGAAGCTGCTGGTCCTATAAACCAGCAGCAACTCAACAGTGTGGTATCTGAAGACCGTGCAAATGCGCCATTGAAGCAAGCAGAACCTGCGTATCCCTCCTCGTTCGCTCATATAGTAGAACTTATTACGACCGGGAAACCCATACCTGGAATTCAGCAGATACCAGACACTATACTCGCTGGCCAAGACACTCCAAGTGCCAGGTCAAGGAGACGGAAGCCGTGGGAGCTGGAAAGCGGCGAGCATATCGGCAGATGAATGACAAGTACGGGCTGATTTCCAAAAAGTTGCTCAAACAGCCAAGTCGACTCCTTGCCTTTAGTGGATGACCAATTGCGTCCTCGTCAGTAGTCCGATATGTCATATTAGTTCATAGCTAACAATAAGAGCTTCTGCAAAGTAGGTAGTACCGGTAAACTGGCAATAATTCATGAACTTGTCGTAAACCAACCTCTCGCACAAGCAACTGTATTTTGACCGCACCTCCCTTGTCTTCTCCTCATACTTGGGACGGTGGATAACAAGAAGCATAGGTAATATAGTATCAACATCATCTTGCTAATTCCTCGGGTAGCTTCTTTTCTTCACCTTTTCGGTTTGCCTCAGGTAGATAGAAAAGAGCTGTCCTGGATCAAGAGCCACAAAAGCATGGCATGGTGCTATAGGAGCGCATATGAATGAATGAGGTGTGAAATTCGTCCGACTTGGACTAGATGAATCACGCATCAAGCGCAGCGCAGCCCTTCAAAAGCGTAACGATCAAAGTTGCCAAGTGCAGGCTACTGGGCGTCTACCTGGAACAAATCGACGCGGTAGGTTAGTTTGTAGCTCTCGTCACAGGGCTGAAAGAATAGGTCTCGGTCTACTCTTGTTCTTGACATTGTGGTCATCGAAATGGCGGGTAGTTGGGGTTCCACTGAGTTGCGCGACTGAAACGTCCGCCGTGTTGTCCAGGCATCTGGTACCTGTCGTCGCCGAAATTGCCGAAACGATTGACCGAAAGGCCGGCACCTGGCCCGGGACGAGTTGTGTGAGAATGGTTGCAACATAGCATAGCCACGCGGGAACCGAACTTAGAGCCACGCAAGGACACCATATGTTTTCTATACGTCACGTCAGGATCAAGCACGATGTTATTCAGCAGATGGGTGAATACCTAATATGGCTGGCGACCAACTCACGCTGATGCGGTGAGGCATTTATCAATATCCATTGAATAAGGTAATTGCCATATTGGTCCCCAGCAACTGAATTAAGTCAGACAGCCACAAACAATGAGTAGTTTACGCAAGGGCTTACTATCAATCAAAGGCATTCTCGGGCGATCACTGCGGCCTGTGCATACTCGAGCAAGGTAGCGATCTAGGAACTCGGAGCCGCCAATCTTCAGGCATTTTTCCACAATCTTCGAAGCAAATTGGTCCATGCTGTAATCGACTGACCAAGCAAGAATGTGCTCAACGGCGCGGCTTTTGTCGTGTGGGGCACCATGTTCGCAAACATGCTGGATGCACCAGTTTCCAAACTGGCCGTGGGCAAGTATGTCGATCTTTGATAACACCTCTTCGATAGCAGGGCGCTATGCATCTCGTTAGCAAGCATCCAGCAGGGATCATTGAATGTCCTCTGAGCAGCCTGTTCCAGCTTCTCTAGGTCCATTAAAGAACTTCAGAGAACAAAGAAGAAATGATCAAGTGTCACCTTTTCATCCTCGACGCAATTTTCGAATATGTTCTGCACTACCAGACTTCCCGTCTCGCCCAATGCGACTTCGTGCCACATCCCGCATAGTGCTTCGTTTACTTTACTCATGATCTGCGGGGGTTCTCCACTCCATCGCAATTCGAACAGTTTCTGCCAGACATGGCACGCGTACCTATGAATGACAGTTTCTGGTATTCGCCGCAGAAGTTCATGGACCATGACCGCTTTATGCTCTTCTGGGACGCAGTCAAAGGCCTTTTGTATCACATGGCAACCGAACGGATCCATACTCAGGCTCAGGGTATTCCCTTTGATAGCATTGGCGATTGCAATGATCTGGTCGGGAGTTCCATGTTCGAAGCAGCGTTGGACGAGAAAGTTCCCGAAGCGGTTTACCATGAGCGGATAGGCTTGGTGTACAATTGCCTCTATGATTTCATACTTTTGCTCAGTTGTCCCAACCTTGAGCTTTTGTTGTAGGAATATTGAAGCTTGCTGGTCGTTATTACATACGATCTTATCGACTATATATTTCCAATCGCAAGAAACGTTTTTGTCAAGCAGTCGTCGGTAGTTGATTGGTTCCAATGGTGAAATGTATGTTTGGCTGGGATTTGTGCCCACCTATATACATAAGCTCAAGTCGAAGCGACAGAAAGGTGGGACGTTTCTTACCGACGAAGATTGCCATGAATTAGACGTATTGAACTCTGTGGCTGTTGGTGAGAGTGGGGTGCCAATTGGGCGTTGATGGTATGTATGAATTGGATACATTGCAACTTGTTGTTGGTAAGCACCGTTGGACCTTTCTATGGAAGATCTTGAAAGGGTTGACTCGGGACTTGATGCAAAGGCAGCTGGCCATGGAGTACCGTGGCTTGGGAAGCATGGTCCACCACGGCTATTCTGGGTGAATGAGCGCCGCGGCCCTGGCCCTGGAGCCTGAAGGTACCTAGCTTGTTCCTCAGGAATATTGGAATCAAGGGTGAAAGATCCCGAGGCCGGTCCTGAGAAAACTCGGTGTGATTGAAAAACATCGTGGCTCGGCACGCAAGAGTTTGTACTCGAGCCAGTCCAGAATCTGTTAGAGTCCTCGCTATAGGGACTGTTGCAAGGCAAACGGAATGGTTCTCCATAAGGTCTTTCCTTGATCGGGCTCATGTTTGTGCTCATCGCTTGCTGGGTTGCAGATGTCCAAAATGCCCGATTCCTGTTGTATGCTCCAGCAGAGAGAGCATCAGACATGTCGGACTGAGAGTCATCTTGCGTATTCCAGCCGTCCTGGATAGAGGTAAAGCCTGTCTGTGACGCTTTAAATGCACTTTGCAAATTGGCGATTGTTTGTTCTGTTACTTCTCGTCCATTGAACTCGGCTTCAGAAGGGGGTCCGAGTGCTTGGTCTATAGTATGTTTGATCACTCGAGTCTGGGCTAATTCCTGCTCTTGCAGGGCTATCGTTGAGTTGGCAGCCAGTAGTTCCTGCTTCAAACGTAACACCTCGGCCATGTCGATGTGAACTGCCTGCGACGGCTCAGTTTCAACCAGATCAGTTGATGTGCGAGGAATTTCTCCTGATGGTAAACTACTGGGAGACTTGTCAAGGTCTGTATGATCATCACTAAAGTCTGGATTCGTCTCATCATCAAACATGTGATGGCTATGTCGCTTCAGCAAGTGCTGCTCGCTAGGTATCCTTGAAAACAGGCTCTGGTCCACGGGTAGCTTGGCCTCGGACGGCTGAGGCTTGGGAGAAAGCCTTGCTAATATCCTTTCCATCTCGGTGTGGGTATTTGGGGAGACAATATTGAAATGCTCCAACTTCTGCTTCTAGGCTTGTGAGATTTTGGACTGATGGTATTAGTCGCGAAATTCTGACCTTGCTTGATGGGACATCATGGTAAAAGTCATCTGCCGATGTTTGACTGCCTCCGGGAACAGATGATCTCAGAGACTCCGTCACACTGGCTGGAACCTTGGAATGTGTATGGCTCTAGGATTGATGTATTGCTGTTAGAACTTTATAGCTACTGCGTCGTGTTTTAGAGACTCACTGCGACCTCGTCTCCAAGATTTAGTACATGGAAAGTACTCGCAACACTATGAGGAGGGCCACTGTCGGTGCGGTTCAGCTTGGACGATGTTATTGACATGAGAGACATCATGTGTCGAGTGCCGCCTAATTGAAGTTCTTCGAGATTCGTGACGGTGCACTCGTCCAGTATCAAACGTTAGAGCAGGTGGCTGGAGCAGTTGAGAGTCAATGATTCCAATCGTTCGCAAGGAATGTATAGGTGGTCGTTATTTGAGGATGGACCGGAACGACAATAACTATTGGTAATATACGACCAGATCCCATCCAGAAAGAGGCAGGGTAGATAGTCACAATATCGGAAAGAGGATATATGAAGCCTTCAGTGTCCCTACCAGCCTGTATACTGCATGTATAGCAGGGTTAGTACTACAATCCGGAAGTAGCGACGGAGAGTATTGGTTGGTACCTATAGTACCTACCTAAGTCAAATAGAATGAAGCCCGAAATAGCAATGATTGGAGGAAGTCGCGTGCGAAGGGCCGCTGCCAGTGAAAGGTATCTGCGGGGTTCGGTTGGTAAATTAAGGTACCTACCTAGGTAGTGGCATCCTGCCTAACAGTATGTCAAAGAAACCGACTGAGGGGGATGATTATCATTCTCTGCCGATGGTCAGTAAGAGAATGTTGCAACAGCTTGATATGTACAGTAAGCAGGAGACTGTCCTAAGAAGTGTACTATGTTCTATAGAATACTCTAGGTAGGTTTCCATACTCACATAGTAAGAGCTATACATACATCATGTATGATCAAAAGCAAGACTCTGTCGGCGCATAAGTATTATGTATATAAGATGGTGCAGCAGTTGGGGGGGGGGAAGGGCCTTTGTCTATTTCTGTAGTAACAAATAAGTTTACTTGGGAGAGACAACTTTCTCGAATCATGTTACCAGAATATCTTCCATACCCTAGGCAAGTATGCAAAAGGCACATATTTCTATCTGATTGAATAGAGTATGTATTGATTGTATACAATGTCTAAATACATGGTTGATGGCCTGTCTATACCTTGTGTACTACATAATGTACCGTACCTGTATACACCTTTATTTTTTCCATTACTGGTGAGATCTTTTGAAGTATATAGAGGGTAGGATGGCTGGCTACTGCAGGTGACAATCTCTTATCGTGGGCGGCGTATCCACAACATATACAGAGCAGAGTACAGTGTATAGTGTACATACAGCATGCACAAAGTAAAAGTCTCAACTCACTAGTTAACAACTTGGCTGACTTAATTTACCAACTAACTAACGTAATCGGCAAGCGAGTCGGCCACGTAAGCGAGTCGGCCACCCCATCAACCACTACCACGCCTATAAAACTACCTGTATACAGACATTAATTTATCTACTAAAAATATTTTAATTATTAAAATTATCGGTAGAATAAGAAGACAGACTCTATCTCGCAATTAAGACTATAAAAAAAGACTAAATTTGCTTAATTTATAAGATTGTAGATACTTTTAAAGTTCTATATTTAATTTTTTAAGATTATTTAAATAGTATTATATACTATAAGAAAACATGTACTAATTACTATAAACTAACTTCTTTAGAAAAAAAATTATTTATTAAATAAATTATATTACTAGATTAATATAGTATACTACTAAGACAGCTTTATATATATAATATAGTATTAATTTTAATATAAAAATATAATAAAAAATTAACTAATTTAATAAGTAAAAAATAAATATATAACTTTATTTTTTAGTATTATAATACTTTAAAGTCTTAGTTTATATATTAAATCAGTTATAAATATATAAAATATAAAAATCCTAATATTATATAGGCCTGGTTTTAACATATATAAACTACTGTTATTATATATAGAATTATAAATATAAATATTTATAACTTTAATAAAACCGGCTTTATTATAGGCTTAATAACTGCAGCTAAAATAGTAATATATTTATTCTATTATAAAAAAAATTTTTATACAGTCTAAAAATTATAAATAAATAATTTTAATTAAATATATTAATACTGTAGAATAAACATTACCGGTATATATAATATTAAAAATAAAAACCTATATATAAATATAATATAAAAACAGTCTATTATTTTTATAGTATATTATAATATTACTAAATAAATAGACTAATTAAAAAATTAATAAATACTGGCTTAAAAAATATTTTATTTCTTATATTAAAAACCGAAGAACCGGCTAATATAGTCTTCTTATTCTTAATAAATATAATTTTTATTTAATATTTTAATCTAATAATATATACTATAAAAATAATATTATTCTAGTATATATACCGGCCAATTCTTTTTCTCTCTATTAATTTTTAAATATAGCTGTATTTTTATTATTAAAATAAGTATACAGCCGCCGGATTAAATATCTTTATGACAGTTGCAGCCGATGAGTATAAATATGATAAAGTTGATATTATTAAGTTAGTTGTTTCTTTAATATATCAAGACGGAAATCTCTATATATAAAAAGCCGCCAAGGCGGAAAGATAAAATAGAATTAATATTATTAAAAATACTACCAACCGGTCCGCTATATATACTAGTTTTATAAAAAATGATGCCCGCGTTAAGAACTAGATATAAAAAAACAGAATATATAAGAAATATTACTAATAATAATAATCTAGAAGATAAAAGATAATATATTAGAAGATATAATATATTAAATAAAAAAAATAAAGAAAAAAAATATAGATAAACCAAAAATCAATTTTATTAAAAAATAAAGATATAAGAACTTTAAAATATCAAGACCGGCAGATATTTACTATAAATAATAATATTTATATTTTTATATTAATTTATCGGTAGTAACATCGGTAGTTTTAATCTATTAATTATTTTTAAAATTATATCCGAACTAATAGATTAGATATTATAAAACAGACGTGCAGTATCAGCTATAATATATTATATATTTATTAATAATTATTTTAATTTTCTAACAGTCGGTCTTACCGGGAAATCTTTTATTAATAATATAAAAAGATTTGGATAACTTTCAGCTAAAAAAATTAATATTTTTAAATATAGGCTTAAGCTGGATAATTAATATTATTAAATAAATTAATTAAAATAACAGCAGTTTTAAATAGTATATATAATAACTAATAATTTTAAGAATTTTAAATAGGCCGGTATACTGCTGAGCAAACTTTTGTTTAATATTATAAATAAATAGAATAGTATATTTATAGTATAACCGAAAATAAATAAAATTATTAATATTAAAATATATAAGCTTATATCTAATATTATAATATTTTTTTATATATATAAATATAAATTTTAATACCTCTTTAGTATTAAACCGATAGAACAGATTCTAAATAAAATAAATATTTATATATTTAAAAATAATAATTTTAATATATAAATATATCTTCGGTTTTATTATAAACAGAATATTTAGAAACAGCAAGATATTAGATAAAAAATCTAAAAATAAAAAAATATTAAGACTATTAAATAAAGTATTAAAAATAACTTTAGTTGGATTAGAATATTTAATATATTATAAAATAAACTTTATAAAATACTAGAATTAATATAATAAAATATTAAATATTAATTTATAAAGAATTTTATTTATAGATATATTAATAAAAAAATTTATTATTAAAATAATTAATAAAAAAAGAATAGACTAAAATCTAACTTTTTAAGTATTTTAGACTTAAATAATACTATAGTATATTATTATTTTAATAGTTTAGATTATCTGTTTAAACTGTTTATCGGTTTAAAATTAAGTAGTAGTTAAATAAAACTACTTTAATTTTATTTTAAAAAAAAATTCTTTTAAAATATAAATATAAATTATATATTATAATCGAAAATAAAGAAATAGAAAATATTCTAATTATAAAATTATATATACTTAATAATAGTAAGTTTTTATTAATTTACTTTTTATATAGAGAGACTAGAAAGTAGACTAATATATTTAATAAATTTATTAATTATAATAAAAAGCTAATTATAGCCGGTAATAAATATTTTAAATAAATCTATAATAAAATTTATAATAATAATATAAAATAGAATAAAAATAAAAATAGATTATAATATATTATACAGCTTATATTTATAGATTTTATTATATTAATAAATAAAATAATATAAAATATATTTTTTAAGCAGCTTTTGATTTTTATAAATAATTAAATTATTTAATTTTAGAAGATATTTATTAATACTAATATAATTATATTTATTATATATAGTATAGAAAATTTTAGATATAATAATTTATAGTATATATATTTATAGTTTCTTTGTTATTTTAAATTTATTATTCTTAATAATATAATCGAGATTAGAAATAGTTTTAAAATTAGAATAAATAATATATTTATTTATATATAACTAGCTGTTATAAAGAAAACATAAAAAAAATATATTAAAATTAAAATATAAAATATTAATAATTTTACTTAATTAAATATTTATAATATAACTATTAATAATCTGCTTCTTAAAGTTTTTATCCAACTAGATAATAAATATTTAGACAGAAAATATATTAACTAAAATATCTTTTAAGTTGTATTTAAAGATATAAAAAACTTTTTTTTAAAAAATAAAATAAAGTATTAGTAACAGTATTAGTATATTTAGTATAGTAAAAAATAAGAATATTAAACTACTAGATATACTAATTTATATAAGTAAAATATAGATTTAATTATTTAATAATAAAAATATTAAAAAATATCTATTTTAAAATACTAATAATACTAGTATAATTAATATAAATAATAAAAAATTTTAAAAATACTTAAATAAAATAATATAATTTTTATAGATTTTAAATAAGATAAAAGATTTTAAATTGAAGAAACTAGTAGTTATACTTTATAAAAGTAAGTATTCTACTTAAAAATAATACTGATTAGATTTATATATAAATAGATAGCTTTAATAAATTAATATCTTAAAATAGTTTATTTTTTAAAAAAGATTTCGAGTTTTTAGATAAAATATTTTTAGAAATATTAAAGTTAATATTTTTAATATTTTTATCTTTAGTATAATTATTTTTAAAATAATAAACTATAATTCTA